AAAAAACAATCTCTGTTATTCTTTCCTGCTTTGGGAAGGGATTTTTAGATTACACGAAACAAAAGCACTAGCATTTCTAAGGAAAGAGTCCTTTAAAAAAAAATAAAGAAAACTTGTTTCAACGTTATATCACAAAAGGGCAAAATGTAAGTTTGAAAGATATTCAGAGAGGCTAGTTTAAGTTCGAATGTGTAGAGAAGGATACATAGGCATTGCCTTTTTCCAGGTGAGAAGTAAATAAGAATGGGATAAGAAGAAGGAACGTATGACTAGCCATCAGACTGGGATCCCAATATATTTATTTTGCTCTGTCCTGTTCCCTCACTCTGACCTTTAAAGACCAAAACAAATGAGGTTAAGAGGGGGACAGGTCCCCAGATCCCGCTGAAGCCGGGTAATGTTTAAACCAGTGGGTAATGTTTAAACCAGTGGAAGGAGTTCTTCTACCTTTCCCAAAATTTAGTCCAGATGAGGTTAATGTGTGTTTTTCACTATAGGGGACAGATCCCCAGATCCCGCTGAAGCCGAGCAATGTTTAAACCAGTGGAAGTTGCTCTTCTACCTTTCCCAAAATTTAGTCCAAGACAGTCCAAGGGTTCTCTCACTGATATATGAAGAATTCTGAAGAACACAGAGAAATCATTGTATGTAAATTTATCTAAGTGCCAATCTTTATTTAAGGAAGAGTACATAGCGATGGGAGCTAATCAAGGAACCTGTAGGGCAGTTCTTCCCTGGGTAAAATTCCTCTTTTCCCAAAATGCGAGAAATTAGACATTTCTGAAGTCATTAAACTGCACTGGAAGAAAAATTACAGAGTCACAGAATGGTTGAGGTTGGAAGGGACCCCTAGAGATCATCTAGTCCCACCCCCCTGCTCCAGCAGGGACACTTGGAGTACATGGCACAGAGTGGCATCCAGGCAGGTTTGGAAGATCTCCAGAGAAGGAGACTCTCTGGGCAGCCTGTTCCAGGAAAAGGCTTGACTGGGCTCTTACCAATTCTACTTACATGTCTAAAAAATGTTTCATGCTGCAAATTTAATAGCCTTGGAGTTATCAGTGAATCATGCATCATAGTGCAAGGTATCTCTACGGACATCAAAAATTGAATGAGTTTATATCACCGTAGCTTGTATTTCATTCCCATGAATGTATTTGTACTTGAGTATATAGGTTACTGTGCACCCATGAACTGCCACAACCCAGAAAGTACGGTGATTGGAGCTGTGCTCTCTGAAAATCAAGTAGCTCGTTAGCAGACATAAATATTAATAGAGCCGTCTACACTCTCAAATGAGGTTGTCTGGATCATGATTCTCTACATTTAAAATTTATTCAGTGCACCAGCCCAGACCAACTGGATTAAAAAACAGAATCCACACATTTAGAAATCTCTGTTGGGCAGTCTCTTAGCCACCCGTAATTCCCAAACATTTGATATATACAAGCTAGGAGCAAGTGATTTCTTCTCTTATTCCACCCCCAATTCTCCTAGAAATACTAATCTATCCAAAACTGTATCTGCTCAGTTCCATGACATTCAGTATATATTATATTCTCTATGAAAAATCACACTTCCATATCTTTGAATACAGATACCTTCGGGCAACACGAAGGCTTTTGTACGGGCTCATAACGAGAAGTGTGCTTTGACGTCAAAGAGCAGAACACAGAGTATCTGGAGTTTCTTTTAGTGGTCGCGTTTGTGATGATTTTCAAGCATTATTTATACAACTGTCATTAGATTTTAAAGTTTCTATTCATGTTGCAATCTGTGTTGCAAGGCAAAGAGCTGGATATACAATATTAAACAAAACACAGGCACAGCTAAGGGAGGGTGAACACTCCTCCTCGAAGATAATGAGTTACTCTGTCATTCTGAAACAGAAGTAAAATGTTCATGCTGTGTCTGTAAAAGTAAAGTGGAGATCTGAAACGCAAAATAGAGTGCAAAAGGCCTTAGGCATTTCCTAGAAATGATGCAAATGTTGACATGTACTCAGGAAATTAATGCACGATCAAGGACATAAAAAAATCAGTTGGTAAAATGGTGTTATCCAGCATGTAACCTGGGATCTGTGGAAATCTAGAACTGCAGAAGCCAGCCCACATGGGAGGCTTAATGAGACGCCTTTCTATAGATTTCCTAAAACCAACCCTAGGAAGTAGAGGGGTTTAAGCTGTGTATGCATATACATAAAATTAAATTAGTAACTTCAGATTTTACCTTGTTCCTATTTCGCCCTGTTGCCATCCTATCATTTTGTAGCCTCTGCAGTGTGCATATCACAGTCGCACCAACACACAGTAATGGTTACAATTCCTGCTATAATGTCTAACATAACTTGCAGATAAAATTGTCTTCATTTCCATATCTACCTTCATCTGCCTAATTCCTATTTTTTCTTATATCCCTCAACTAAGTGGTGTTACTGATGTAATTATCCAGTAAGATTTACTTCAAGTAATAAGAAAGCATTAAACACTATAAAAGAGTTGGTGGTTCAGACACTTTGCATTTACGTACTCTTTATTATACATTTATGTACTCTTTATTAATTAAACGGATGGTGCAAAGTTCTACCTGCCTATTTTTGTATATTTCCAGTAATTTTCAATACTGACTGTAATGAGTGCAATGTAAAACCAGGGAAACAGTGGCTATTTCTTCTTCTCCCTTCTTCCTCGCACAACACTATTGCTATTTCCAAGCTGCTGTTGCTGCCAAGATGCCACTTACCTATTGCAACCTGGGTCTACAAGGGGACTCCTCCTCCTCCTCAGTGTGAAGGCCATACAGCCCAGCTAGAACCTGAGGGCAGCACAGGCGAGTAGAGAGTGAGATGCTGTGGGATGAAGGCTGACTACAGCTCTGGCAACTGCCCAAGCAGGCGGCCTTCAGGAGCTGTCTGCCCTCGTCAGCGGGAACAGGTAGGCAGGTTTCTGCTGCTGCTTCTTGTACTGTGCAGGAGATCATAAATTCAGCTGGAAAGGTAACTACTGAATTTCAAATAACTCCTTCTTTATCCTCCTTTAGACTCACAAGACAATAAGCAAGACTCTCCTCAGCTCCCAGGTTCTCCCTGCCTTTCTTTTGGCTGTTTTCCCGATTTCTTCTTCTTTGTACTCTCTAATAGGAAAAGATTCCTTCTGAGCACTATGATGGAGATCTGCATCTTTATTTATGACTCTGTGAATCAATGTCTGGGTGATAGGAAGTGAAAGTTGCTCAGCTGATTACACATGCTTGATGAACTGCATAATAACTGCTGCAGCACCACACATTAATTGAATGCATATAAATGACAGCAGTTATTCTAACTTGAATGATGTGTGTGAAGAAGTGACGTTGCTCACAGCACACTGATTATCTTTGTTTCCAACTTTGGGAATCCAACCAGAAAACAATGTCATTTTTACAGCATCAAGCAAAAAATCCCCAATAGGAAACATAAGAAGTTGACTCAACACCAACACTTTAGAAACAAATTTCCTTAATTTAAGTTACTGAAAGTAGATTTAGACTTCTAAAAAAGCATATGTTGAGCAAATACAATTAAGATTTAATAATTAAACATTAGCTAAAATTAACAATCAGTAGGAGCTGTATAAGCAAAAGCCTTGGAAAATAAGGCCACTTTTACCTAGATACCTTAATATGGTATTAGAAGCCTAATTTGTGTTTACAGAATTACATTTTGTCCAACTTTGAACAATTTTCTGCTATGACACTTTCCTAAAATGTATTTGTTCCGGAATATCAGGGACATGTAGGCAACTGATATTAAAAATATCCATTACAGACAACAGGTTATTTCCATAATGCTCTTTGTTTACCCTAGAAAGTATTCTAGATTTAAAGGTAGTCCTGCAATTAAAGAAGGTATTATGTAAAAAAAGGAACTGATGTAAAGCGTGTTTGTAATGTTGTATAAAATTAGTACTTCAAGCTATTGCCAAATAGTGCCTTTAAATGAGTACCAAAATATACCTTCTATATTGCAGATCACTCGCTTCAGGAACTGCAAATGTTCACAAAGAAATCTGCAAATTCTCCCGTGCTGTCTACGAAACACTAAAATGTTAGATGCCAAGTTTCCAAAGCCTCCGAAGCAGCCAAATTCCCAAAGTATCATGTCACAACATGTTTACATTTCCCAGCACCAGCATCAAGAGACTTCAGGCTTTATAAAGAAAGCCGTAATCACACGGCAAAGGAAACCAGCCCTCACTTTCTTTAAATGTGTAAACAACAACAAAGAAAGAAGAGTTTCACATATACATTGGAGGCAAGTCAACACTGTTCCAAGAAAACGTGTGCATCACGTAAGAAGACAAGGTCACTTCTCGGTTCTTAACGGTGCCAGCTGCCTCACACGGACTGGCTTCACCACCAGCCGTGGCACAAGTGCCACCCGTGGACACCCTACGCTGTGCTACACACCAGGGACTCCGCCAAACCGCGAGGCCAAGACTCGTAAGGGCTGCCAATGGATTCAGCATTAGAGCCACAATCAGGTGTAACCAAGCCCAGGCTTTGCAAACGTTACCTTCTCTGCTTTGCATGGTCCTCTCTTTAAATCGCTTTCTGGCTTTGTTAGGACAAGACAGTCCCCAACTGCTCACTTCACAACATCAGTATATCAGCCTCTTTCAGCTGTGTTACTCATTCTTCCTTTGCAAGTTTTTGAGCTTTTCCCCCTTATTTTTTTTATTTTTTTGGTGCACTTTATACATACCTCCTTTTCTACAAATTTTCTTGCCGGGTTTTCTGGCACATTCCTTGGATATTCTTTTGACTGAAAAATGAATAGAAGACTAGAAAATAACATGGAGCTCCATCCCGGACAGTAGGAGCATGCAACACCACTATCTAACTTAAATATAGCCTGCTTTATTAGGTGCGGAAGATTCTCAACTTGTTGTGCCTGCACATGCAATGGATAAGATGTTGATGCATCTTCCCAGAAGTCAGCGGGTGGCAATGAGAATTAGATACCAACTTTGACCTAAAATACACGTGCTGTGGGAGAAAAACAATGAGTATAGACAGAAAAACAAAATAAAGGACAGATGCACACACAGAAAAGCAGCATGCATACACATAAAATGCTGGCATGCCAACAAGAAAGCCATGCACGCTACCAGTAAACATGAATTAATATTGTTAGAACTTAGAACAGGAAAATAAAAAGATCTCCCTGTTTTGCCTTGTATTAACTCACCATCCTCGGTTGGGACATAGATATTTAAGTAGAGGCAGTCTTCATTCTGGTCTTGCACATAGGTGGAAACTACATCCAAGTTATTAGTAAACCACACGGGAAGCATGACTTCAGGCAACCTGCCTTCTATGATGTTCTGGGGACACACTGGAGCAAACTGAGTGGTATTTTTGATATTTGCCCAGGGAGACGGAGGCTCAGGAGGCTGGAAGCGGCGCTCCCCAGTTGGAGGGGCGGCATATGGAACCCCGAGAAACTGAATAACAGGCCCCAAAATTTCATTATTAAGTTCCTTCTTAATCCCTCTTATCTTGCCAAAGTTGGTGGTCACCACTGGGTTGGTATCATCCAATTTTTGGGAGGACACAGCCGCAGCGTGAAGCAAAAATCCGAGTGTACAAAGAGCAAAACTGGCGTTCAATCCCACGTGCAACAGGCGGACTGTCAGCGCTCTCCACACGCAGTTCAGCCACATGGAGCTTGGGAAGGCCATGGTCCCACATTAGTTGTGTAACGACAGTGAAGCAATCTGATTTGTATCCACTGGCGTCAAAACAGGGCGACCAAAGGAAACACAGCAAGTTTCCTGGATGGGAGCCTGTCAGAGAAATCTCAAAAGGCTTTTCATGCGGTAAGTATCTTCCATTGATTTCACACTTATTGAAGCTGCATCTTCACTCAGCACTATTTATCAGACTACATCCTATTGACAATTCTGTTTTCCATAGCAGCAATATGAAGAGAGCGGCCATTTACTGCAGAATCCCCTCTTATAAATCAAATCCAGTTAGCCGCAGGTCTATATCCTGGAGAAAATGAAAATAAATCATTAGTATGAAAGAGCTACTATGAGCAGAGCGATAACTAGGTGTTTTACAAGTTATGTACATACATTAATAGTTGCTAGAATCAGGTAAGTAAAACTGTACTAGTTTATGCTTCCATGGGATGGTGGGTGAAGCTCTGATTACAGAATTATCTGTCATATCGTCATTCAATTTACAAAGAATTTCAGAAGAAAAAGGCTTTTTTTTCACAGAAAGTTCACCTTTTTCAGAATAAAAAAAACTCTCTCAGGTCACCTTTTTTTTTTTTTTTTTTACATTTTACTTGACTTCGTCAGCCCATAATCAATTTTGACCTTGCTGGCAGAATAGTAGAAGTTGGTTTATCAAAAAGAAAACAATTATTTCTTAAAGTACAAGACAGTGAAATTAAGATACATTCTGAATGCTCACACGCAATCTATTTCACTAATACCACATTAAGCTGCAAACAAATATTTGCCCATTTTCAAGTAGAACTGATTCGAACATTGAAAAACTGGACTATCTTTATAAGGATAACAAGAATTACTGCACTTTTTATAGGCTTCTTAACCCAAAAATTTCTGATAGCTCATGAAAATCACCAGAGTTTCAGCAGATGGAAACAGCAGAGGACCAGATTTTGCTCCCATGGAAGTGAATGGCAAACTCACAATTTGCATAAAAGTATGATGGGACTTCAATGCTTTTTTTTCTAAATTGAGTTGAAAAAGCATAGGAACTGGCAGGCGAGGGATGGAGTTATACATCACATCTCCTATTTCAGACCAGTCCTGCATTCCTTATGAACTACCGAATGCAGTAAAAAATGAAAGCCCTATGAATACACTCAATTCCTTACATACCATCCTTAATTTACAGTAACACAATAAATGCTCCCATAAGACAGTAAAAACCTTATCTTTCATATACCCACATACTTACTGAGCAGTATCCTAGAAAAATAATCAGTTAGGATCAGAGACTATATAATCTCAAATTCCAGATTCTATTTTCAACTACTTTAGCTCAAAGGTTGTCATCCAAGGCTGCTCCAGCACTTCTGAAAATTGCTCAGCGCATATCATTACGTCTTCTATATTCCTGTTAAACATATTTCCAACACCATTTACAATATCCTATTATTTAAAATGCAGTGCTATACACAATGCAGCAGCATAATCTTACACTCCCTGTTAAGCAGTGTGTAATGCACAAGAAATGTGTTTTGCTTTGTATGGGGAACATGTTAAACCACCTGCTTTTGAAACAGCATTGGCAGCTTTAATGAGAATTGTTTTTTTTATCATGTCTATACACATTGTAGAGAGAATTCAAAAGAACGGCTTGTCTAATAGTCAGACTACCCTGCAGTTTGGGTTATTAAAAAAGAGATTGTAAAAGCTATATAGGACAGCAGGAGATTTGGTTCATGTCTAGTGTTCCTTTAGCTCTGAACAATCTATCTCAGGAGGCAATAAGGAGATAGATGAAGCTTTTCCACAATTCTCTCTCCCTCTCTTTTTCTGCTAATTCTAACACCTTTGCCGTGAAACTGCATTAACAAACAGTCTTATATTCTTCACTCTCAGGCTTCCAATCCTCAGCATTCGCTGGAAACACACCAATTTAGTCGGAGAAAATAATTCCCCAAAGTTAATGTGTTTGCATTTCGTTTAAAAACCTTGCAACCAGAATGGCACCCAGACAGTTGCCTCTCGGGGGACGGTCGTTTTGCTGCGTTTCGGATTTTGCAGGCAGCGAGGTATTTCTTGGGGCCGAGCACAGGCTGGTGCAGAGCACACCTGGCCCAGCTGCTCTAAGCTGCAGTGCCCCGCAGGCCATGGCAAGATGCAGACTTCCCCCTGGGTGGCATTCGGAAACCTCCACGCAATCTAATCTAATCTTTCCCAAACTCTACAGTGTTTCCACTCTGAACAGCACTAACTTAATCTTCGTGCTGCCAATTCACCTGGCGTGGGGAAGCTCTGGGAAGGAACCAAACTCGGCACGGCCGTGCCAGACAATCGTGTCCTTTATTTCAAGCCGCTGCGTCTATTCAATGTAGAAAATTGCCAAGACGCTGCCAACAGCTCATTTAGCCTCAGGCCTGTCCCTCTATTCTAAGAGAATACCCAAAATGGAAAGTTTCGACAATAACATCAAAAGTCACGCGAGTTTATCAGCAACAGAATCTTCTATTTCAGATTCCGTGACTGGGGCTACTTTTTACTTACCCTGAACTAGTTACATTATCTATGTAAATTTAAAGCAAATCCTGCAGCTGGGCTACAGTTTTAAGCCTGCACATTGGATGCTGTCCCTAACAGCTGAACAGCTCTATTACGATTAAATGTTCTGCTTTGCCACCCACTTAATAAAGTTTTCTTCTACGATAAAGACAGGAAGCTAAAATGATAGGAATATAACTCAATAGTATGTTTGGCGATTTTGATTAATTAACTCTTGGGTACTAGCTGGTTTCAGCCAATAGATTTATAGGCTATACAAGGCAGTAAATTGTAGAGCATTTCCAGCATTGAAATCAACAGACTTGAATGATATTTGTAACTTGAATTTTGTTTTGTTTTGTTTTTCCTCACAGGCAATTCTTTTTTAATGGTTAAGTAACTGTTTGTTTTTGTTATTTAAAGAGGTGAGATGTTTTGAACCCAAAATTGGCTGCCCTGAAGCTAAAACATTAAACACTGAAGCTCGTAAATACGGGGAGGTTGAGATTACTCAAATCTTTTGCGACTGCCATGCCAAAACTTTGTTTGCAGCGCAAGGTGCAAGGGAAGCAGGGTACCTGGCTGCAGCATGTCCCACGCTCAGCATCAATGTTGGAAAAAGGTTTCCAAAGTCCTCGTGACTTCACCTGGGGTCTGGACTTGAAATGACCGACCAGGAACCAGTGGAGAAAGACAGAAAGGAAGAGGGAAGCCA